GCTGAATTTGAAATCTTTAGCTCAAACAAGCACATAGAATGTCCTTTCAAAGTTTTAGCTTCCTATCTCACCTAGTTTCCAAAATCGCTTTTTGCCAAAAAATCTGCCTATCTTGTTCGCGGATCCGAACGCGAGGTCTAGGTGCATAAAACAGGAGGGAGACACGCGGGATGGAAATAAGTCACCAAAGTTTCAGCCTGCCAGCTTTCCTGGCTGCTGAGTTGAAAGCGGTGATAAAACTCACTCGCTTCCGAACACACACACAGACGACATCTCGACAATATGCGTTTTTGCTCGCTGTAACAGCGCTATAGCGCAAAATGCATAAAAAAGACTGTTAAATGGAAATCGTTCATTTTCTTTTATGCAAAAAAAAACTATGATTTATACTAATGGGTACACAAGGTAAATGTAAAGCAACAATCATTCTTACAGTTTACGACTTGATTTCTTCAAATCTAGTGCGAAAACGCATGGTCGCACCGGTAAGCTTGGCCCGTTCCAGTCTGGGATTATTACTTCCTTACACACGTTCGTAACAAATCTTTCGCTGAAATTTCCAATGGGCGCGCTTTTAGACCTGATGACCAAAATCCACATTCAGCCTTATCTCCCACCGCTGTCTTGAACGCACATCGAATTGCAACGAAGGGAAATGTGAAGCAGTCGCTGCCAGTGATCGTTTTGTGCTGATGTCCTATCTAATTTCGAAGGTGCTTTTTGCTTTACTCAGATGAAATTATGCTAATATGTCTCGAGGTCGTGTTAGCAAAAAAAGGATGATTTGTCGAGTTTTTAGCAATGCAGTCAAAGAGTTCATCTTTCAAAAAAAATCTGCTATTTTAGGTGTATCGTTTTTAAGAAATTACACCCTTTTAAGACCGCCACTGCAAGTCGATCCGGTAGGAGATCCAGGTAATGCATAGCTTCTGTCGACTAATATGACTAGAAGCAGTCTTTTGCCTACGCACATGCGAACGAGACGTAGCATAATGTCTTCCAAAAATTCTAGAAACTACCAAGCTACAGGCCCTGCTACACGAAGCCTACGCTGCTGTCATTGCCTTAGTATGACAATGATCAGATGTCATCAAATTCCTATTAACTTGAAACTGTAATATATCGGAGGATTTTTAGCTTCAGAAAGAGCAAAGTAAAAGTAGAACATTTTTTTACTTAATTTTTGGAATATCAAGCATAAAACACAATC